TCTACATTTACAGTGATGAAACCAACTGTTAATCCACAAAGACAGCGACTATATACATATCTAGTCTCCTCCAGTAAATTCCTACTGGTAACATAAATTGAGGTACAATCTACAATAGAATAGATATCATATGTCCTTGACAAATGTGTTTGATATAAAAATGGCAGGACCAGATTGAAAGGTGCCATTAAAAGATGATCTGCAGCCCTCCCCTGATTAAAAAAAAAAAAAAGTAAATGGAGGGATCTCTGGGAGAATCACATTCATGTCCTGTAACACATTAAAGCTGGGAACAAACATGAAAGTAGACTAAAGGCTTTCAGAGGTTACACCATTTATATTTGACTCTAATGTTCTGCAGTTTTCTGGAGGGCACTAATAATACTAGAAGACTTCCTGGGGAAAGACAAAGACAAATCTATTCCATGACAACGTCTGCTCCTAGAAGGGGCTCCTATTAAGGCCAAGGAAGAAGCTCAGTGATACCAGCTGGTGTGACTATATGGGGTCCGAGCTCTTTCTTTCCTCTCCTGCATTCCTAAGCCTCTGAAATGATCAGGTAAACTCCCAGGAAAAATAAAATTATCTTTCATCCCTCAGACTGGGCTTGCAGGACTCAGAGCACTAATACCAATTTCTGACAGAATACATAGTAGGCTGAACAAACACATATGGATGACCAAGTCCAGAGGTGGAGAAGGAAAGTGATGTTCTTGTCTTTTGTTCAGTTTTAAGAACAACAAACAAACATTCCAAGAAACCTCCTAGAAGACATGCTCCTCACACCTCACTGTTGAGAACTGTGTCTCTTACCCATTACTCTACACATGGAATTACAGTAATAATTTAGATTCAGATTCACCAGCTTGTGAGGCTACAGAAGGGCTCAGTTTTCCCAATAACCTCTGCCTGAACAAAATCAGTTAGTGAGGAGGAAGAGGTATGTGGATCTGGACAGGTAACCAGTAGTGTTTCCTACAGCATGTTTCTACCTTTCTGGGAAAAACCACCAAAAGAAATTCTCTCTCTGACTTCTAGGGGAAGAAATAAGTATTGAAGAATTAATTATGATAATCAATATTATTTTTTAAATATATTTTATTGATTTTTTACAGAGAGGAAGGGAGAGAGATAGACAGTTAGAAACATCAATGAGAGAGAAACATCGACCAGCTGCCTCCTGCACATCTCCTACTGGGGATATGCCCGCAAACCAGGTACATGCCCCTGACCGGAATCGAACCTGGGACCTTTCAGTCCGCAAGCCGACGCTCTACCCACTGAGCCAAACCGGTTTCGGCTATGATAATCAATATTAAGACAAAACAATGAAACATGTCAAGCTTAAACAAATATATATATTCTATAAAGCACTGCAATAAAACTGTTTCTGGTATTTCTTGTTCTCCTAGGAACTACTGGCCCATAATATATAAATATTTAAAGGCAGTTTTTAAAACATATGGTCTAACTTTGGTATTCATAGTGGCTCAGAGAGCTTTGAGGTACTTTTGAAAATTGACATTCATGAAAGACCACCTCTATGGTCTACCACAGTGTATTGGGTAAACATATTCATGTAAAATGCATAGTGTTTACATAGTACATATCATCATAAAAAGTTGCAGTATACATACCAGACTTTTCTAGTATACTATGTTGGACTATTAATAACTCAAATTTACATCCCAAAGGGCAACACTGCCCCAATTCAAACTCAAAAACAGCTGTGCAAACAAAGTGAGGGTGAGGGTTAGGTGTGTAAGATGTGAAGGGAGAGACACATGACATACTTGATCACTCAGAGATATAACTCCATGGCACCTAGTTCTGGATATATGACAGGAAATATGTTAACGTGTGCATACAAACATCTGGCCTTGTAAGTTAGTTAAAATATAATGATCAAACTATATAGTGGTGGATTTCTATTTTAGTAAGGAATATTAGTACTATATAGTATAGAGGGGTGGGCAAAAATGGGTTTACAGTTGTGAGTATGTAAAACACAGTTTATGCTTGTATTATTATTTGTTATTACATTACAGGCTTGGTGCCGGAGTCCATTTATTGTCTTCTCTAACTGAGTATAGACAGAGACCCCCAAAAGTTAGTAACCTTTGAAGTCCTAGCAAAGGTCAGGGCTGTGCACCACCCAGTTAATCTAGATAATGGTAGCTGAAGCATCATCCCCACCTTAGTTCACTTAATTCCTTAGATACCTATGTAAATCTTTGTTGATTATTGTTGATTAGATATTCTGCCTATTTCTGGAAATTGTCTGCTGATGAGCTAATCTGTGTGTCATTGAAACCTCCTTACCCTAAGGGCTACTCTAGATCAATAAGATTGGAGCAGACTGAGCATCGGTGGAAGTCCTTCTGGACTTGCCCGCCTGGTCCCCCAATATTTCAAAATTATCTCGTGTCTTTTCTCTCTCATTTGTGTGCGGCTCCTCTTTTCAGATCCCAAACACTGATCCACGCAGACGTGGAAAGAAACACATACGACAGCTTGGTGCATGGATTCATGTGGGGGGTCCCTCGGCCTGGCCTGCAGCTCTCCGACATCCCCTAAGGGGTCCCGGATTGCTAGAGGGCACAGGCCAGGTGGTCAGTGCGCATCATAGCAGCTAGTCGGACACTTAGCATATTAGCCTTTTATATACATATGTGTATATATATATATGATAAAGTGCCAAGCACAGTGCTTATTATCTTCTACTAGTATAAAATGCAGCTGCCAGTGTAGCAACAGTGATTTTTTTCCCTATTCCTAGTCACTTGTTCAAAATGGTGAGAAATACTGAAAGTGGATCTGTGACCTGAAGATGCAGTGCAATGGCCTCAAGGGTCCAACAGGATCAGAGATGATAGTCTTAAGAAGGTACTGTGTAAAGAAGAGAGGAGGCCTTTGGAAGGGGAAGGCATCTTTGGGAGCATGATGATAAAGAGGAAAGAAGGAAGCAGGCAGCTGAAGTTAATATACTGAAGGACAATACCTCTGAATTGAAAGACACACCAACTGATACCCACTCCCAATAGAGCTTATTATTAAAGAAACCCCTAGCAGTGTCATTTACTATAGCTAAGATGTAGAAACAGGCCACATGCCCATCAGTAGATGAATGGATAAAAAAAAAACCTGTGGTACATATACACAATGGAATACTATGCAGCTGTAAAAAAGAAGAACCTCTTACCCTTTGAGACAGCACGGTGTGACCTGGAGAATATTATGCTAAGTGAAATAAGCCAGACAGAGAAAGACAAGTTTCACATGATCCCACTTATATGTGGAATCTAATAAACAAAATAAACCGATGAACAAAATAGAACCAGAAACATTGAAGCATGGAACAGACTGACATATTTCAGAGGGAAGGCAGGGGGTGCAAAGAGATTAACCAGAGAATTGATATGCATATATGCATAACCCATGGACACAGACAATGGTGCAGTGAAGACCTGGGGAGGGGGTGGGGGAGTGGAGAGGGTCAACGTGGTGAGGGGGGATGAGGGGGGAGGGGAGGAAATGGTACATCTGTAATACTTTCAACAAAAATAAATTTTTAAAAACTCATTTCATTGCACCTACAGAAGAGGAAATTTTTGAACTAAGAACCATACCTCCCTTTCATAGAATCTTGTGCTATTGTTGGTCCAGGAAAACACTATACACTTAATATTTTAAAAGCTGTAAAATTCTGATTGTATTAAAGAGTTTTTTTCTTTCTTTTAGAAAAGATGCACAAAAAGATTGTAATATAGTATAGATATTTGGGTAAATATTTTATTATAACTATATGTTTTTTCTTTTTTTAGGTTCACTATTTTCTCCAAATTTTTATCTTGAAGATTTTTGTACTCTGAATAAAATTAGAAGAATGGCAAGAAAAACATATATACTCCATCTAAATTAAACTATTGTTAACTTTTTGCCAATTTTTTCTCTCTCAATAGATATATCTCTATATATTAAAAATTTTTCTTCTATACACCTTTCATAAGAGATACTTTTAAAAACTCTGACATAAAAAAATCAAATTCAATGAACTCTTTTTTATAAAATCCTTTGCCAGGTCTAAATGGATGACCTCTGTCTCACCCAGTCAAATTTCAGTAGAATTATATAATGATAATTTTTACCTCTTATACACAACTAAATAAAAAGTAGAAATTTCCTATTCATTTGGATTTTAAAACTGAGAAAAGAACAAACAATACCATCCATATGCACACAACTTCCTAGCTTAAGAATTCTTAGCAAGGGACACTGGATGTTGATAAAGACTTCATTAAACTAATAGAAAAGAAAACTGCTAATATTAATAAACTAAATAAACATCTGATCTGAACCAGCAGTTTTGAAACCATATCTTATTACGAGATATAACATATAAAAAGAGCTGCTATGGATGAAGGTATATGTGGTGCTTTAAATCCTGCTATATACTTTGCTCATCAGGCAGCATCTCAGCCCAGGGAGCACAGTTTGAATACCATTATTTTAATGCCATTGCACAGTTTTGCAGCTTTTAAAATCATAATATGTTAATTCTTAAAAATACAGTAAGAAAAAATTTTTGAGAAATAATCAATATTCCTCACAAAACTGAAAAGGTTTTGAAAATGAAAGCAAACCTTGCATCTCTATATTCATGACAAAATAATTTAGTTTTACTATTTTAGTAAATGTATATCTTACAAGTAGTTGTAAATAGAAGTTCTGTAAAATATATACCACATTAAAATTTCAAATATTTGCAGTTTTCAGCACACACTAAGACCATTTAATGAGCAAAGGAAGTATAACAAAATGCATAAGGTGATAGTGCATCAAGTTTCAATTGATATGATGATATTAAAATTGAAAGAATATCAGATATTATTTTAAGTGTTAATTCAAAATGACAACAATGTCAACAAAAAAGATAGAGAGTTAGAAAGCAGCAATTATGCTGCAATAAATGAAAGTATAAGATATGGAGAACTTTGTACCTTTATGTGGGTTTTCAAATTCTTCAGATAAAAGGTGGTAGCAACAACCCACACTGCAAACTCCCTTGATTTCAGAATTGGAAGTAAATATTCGTAGAGTATTTGGAGCAAGATCACCACAAGTATGTAGACCTACCATCAAGCAATCCTTTAAAAATGAGAAGAAAAACAAATTTTGGCAGTTAAAAGGAGGGCTAAAAAGACATTTCAGGTGAAGATTTTAAATGTTCATTAGAATATATGGAGCTTTTAAAAATGACCAAATTCTACCTAGAATATACAGTGGTTTTAATTTATTTTTATAACAAATAATGATTCCCTTTGTGGACAAAATGACTGTGATCATTTATCACAACTAAATACTTTTGAATTGATTTTTCTACTGTTTTTGGTTACTTACCCATTTGAATTTTCTCTTTTCTGTTTCACAACTAGCCAAAGTAAAGATTGGACTGATCAAATGGAGCATGCACGACTATGACAAACTTGTGATCTGAGACACATTTATACCTTACTAATATATTTTTTAATTCACTTCTTCACAAATTAACCATTAAAACTTATAAAAAACTGCAATAAAAAAAACAAATAAAAGGCGCCAAATTAACATTTCTACTTCAACACCAAAAAAGTTTACTTAGTTCATTCCTTGCATCAAATATAGTAACTTTAAATTCAATATAACAAATTTTGTTCTAAATTTTATAACATCAGTTTTATGTAAATATTCTCCTATAAACTGTTTCAAAGCCTAATTTTAATGTATACACATACTGAATTGGTACAGCTGCATGTACTCACGGAATCTTGATCAATATACCAATTTTATTTTAATTCTTCAGTGCCTTAATTTCCTCATCTGTAAAATGAGGATAATAATGGTACAAGCACTTTGGAAAACATTGGCAGCTTACCATAAAGTTAAAACATACACTTACTAACAATATGACCTACAAATCCAACTCTGGGCTAATTATCCAAGAGAAATAAAAACATGTTCATACAGTTAAAAAAATAGACAGGGGACTTGAACAGACACATCTCCTAAGCAGGCATACAAATGCAAATCAAAACTATAATGAGATACCACTTGACACCTGTTATAATTGCTATTATCAATAAGACAAGTAACAACAAGTGTCAGAGAAGTTGTGGAGAAAAAGGAGCCCTCGTTCGCTGCTGCTGGAAAGGCACACTGGTACAGCCACTATGAAAAACAGCACAGAAGCTCCCTTAAAAATTAAAAAAATAGAGTTACCATATGATCGTGTAGCCGCTCTTTTGGGTTTCTACCCAAAAAACTTGAAAACATTTATTCATAAAGATATATGCAGAAGAGGCTCGCCGGTGGGGCCCCGGGGGGCGGGCCCCGAGGGCGGCAGCCCGAGCGGAGCATTGGAGGGAAGGAGTGGGCATCGTCCTCCGCGCCGGCCCGGCCATGAATGGGCTGCCTTCGGCCGAGGCACCCGGCGGCACCGCACGGGCTGCGCCCTGGCCGGACTCCCGCCGCTGCCGCGCGGCCTCAGCTGTCTCCTGAACGCGAGCGGGGGCTCGTGGCGGGAGCTGGAGCGCGTCTACAGCCAGCGCAGCCGCATCCACGACGAGCTGAGCCGTGCGTCCCCGTCCCTGAAGGGCCCCGCGGCGCCATGGGCGCTGCCCACGCCGGACCTGCCGCTGGTCCCCCTGGCCCCGGCGCCCTGTCAGCCTCGACTGGGCGTTAGCGTCGCTGCGCAAAGAGATGGTGGGGTTGCGGCAGTTGGACATGTCCCTGCTGTGCCAGCTGTGGGGCCTGTATGAGTCAATCCAGGACTACAAGCACCTGTGCCAGGACCTGTCATCTTCCCTGCATTCAGACAGCTCCTACCCACCTGATGCTGGCCAATCTGATGACGAAGAACCTCCTGATGCCAGCCTGCCTTCAGACCCACCTCCCCTCACTGTGCCCCAGATGCACAATGCCCGTGACCAGTGGCTGCAAGATGCCTTCCATATCAACCTCTGAAGAGCTGGGGGGTGGGGGTGCAAGTACCCATGCAAAAGGCTCAGAAACTTACCCCTCAGCAAGTACTCAGACTACAGTGCCTGCTTTCCCCCATACCACCTCCCTCCACAGGAGGGTAAGGCCTGGGTCCCTCAGAGGCACAACTGCCAACCTCCTCTCCTGTCTCGGGTTAGCTGGCACTGGGGCAGGCACCTGGGCTGCAGCCTCTGCCCCTGGCACTGGACCTCCACTTCTTCCACATGTGTGCACCTCAGCCTAGCCAACCTTCAGTCTGTCAGTGGGCCCAAAGCATCTTCTCTCCCTTGGTATCTCTGGGACTGGGATGCGTATCTGACTCCCATCTCCTTTTCACCTTTTGCTGCTGTTAGCAGCTGCTGGCTCAGGGGCATCCCACCTCTGGTCCCTGGGTTCCACTGCCCTCGACAAGGGCTCCAGGACCCAGTCTTGCACCAGCCCACAGCTGGGAGGGCCAAGAGTCTGTGCAGGATATTTAAATTGAGGGGCCAGCCTCCTGGGCGCATAGAAATTTAAAAGAAAAAAAAAAAAAAGATATATGCAGAAGATACATGTTAACTGCAGCATTATTCACGGTGCCCAAGACATGGAAAACAACTGAAGTGTCCTCTGGTAGATGATTGGATAAAGATGTGGTACATATGAACAATGGAACACTACTCAGATGAAATGCTGCCATTTGTCATGGGTGGATCTTGAGAATATCAGGCGAAGCGAAGTAAGTCAGAAAAAGTCACTCATGATTTTACTCATATGTGGGATGTAAAACTGAAAGCCACAAATGAATAAACAAACAAAAACTCAGAGACCTAGACAACAGTATGGTAGTTACCAGAGGGAAGGGGGGTGGGAGGTTAGTAAAGTATAAGGGGGTCAAATATACGGTGACAAAAGATTTGACTTCGTGTGGTGGACATATAATACAATATATAGATAATGTATCATAGAATGTACACGTGAAACCTATATAATCTTATTAATCACCCCAATAAAATTAATTTTAAAAACTGAAAAATTTAGTAAGTAGAATATTATAGCTTCAAAGGCTACCTTGTTTTTGTTTTTTTTTTTAAACAATGAGTTAGGCTGAATGATTTCTAGAAGCTCCTCTACAAAATTGTCTTAACATGCAATGGTGCCTTTGTTTAAGAAGTATTCTCTTTGAATTACATTTGACATACTTATAGTTTAGAAAAAAGTTGAAATTCTTTAAGAATACTCAGAAGCTAACATTTGCTCAAAAAACTGCATATTTGGTTACCAAGGCTAACAGTAAATACTAGGGGCCCAGTGCAGCTGCTGCCGTTCCCATGCACTGACGGCACCGGCCCTGCTTGCACCAGCTGATGGCACAGAGTAATCGATGCCAGCGCCAGCTGTGGGTGCAAGCAGGACCGGCACCGGCAGTGGGTGTGAGCGCCCAGCAGGACCACGGCGTGCAAGAAGGAGCAAAGAATTTTTAGTAACCACCAGCGGCTCTCCCTGATGACAGCAACCAGTGCCTTACCTTGGTCTGGTGCCCCCGCTCACCTGCTCCACCATCCTGCCACAGCCAATGCCCGCCATGTTCTGCACTCTGCCACCTGCTGCCAATACCCACCATTGTCCACGCATGCCCCCTGGTGGTCAGCAGCACATCATAGCGATCGGTTGTTCCGTTGTTCGGTCTATTTGCATATTAGGGTTTTATATATATACTAGAGGCCCAGCGCACAAAATTTGTGCATGTGAGGGGGGCCTGAGACCAGTCTTCACCCTCTCCAATCTGGGACATCCCTCTCACAGTCTGGGACCACTGGCTCCTAACTACTCACCTGCCTGCCTGCCAGTCTGATCACCCCTAACTGCCTGTGCCTGCCAGCCTGCTGGTCCCCAACTGTCCCCCCTGCCAACCTGGTCGCTCCCAACTGCCCCCCACTGCTGGCTTGGTCGCCCCTGATGGCACCCCCTGCCAGCCTGGCAACCCCTAACTGCCCCCACTGCTGGCTTTGTTGCCCCTACTGCCCCCCTCTGCCTACCTGGTCGCCCCTCACTGACCCCCCTGCTGGCCTGGTCGCCCCACACACCCTGCTATTCGGTCATTTGGTAGCCCCTCACTGCCCTCCGACGGCCTGGTTGCCTCACACACCCTGATTGTTCAGTCGTTTGGTCATCCCTCACTAACCCCCCTGCCGGCCTGGTTGCCCCACACAGCCTGGTGTTCAGTCATTTGGTCATCCCTCAATAACCCCCTGCTGGCCTGGTGGCCCCACGCAGCCTGTTCAGTTGTCCGTTCGGTTGCAATGGCCCCTGGCTCTTTATATATATAGATAGATAACATTGCTGTAGATATCTCTTTACTTCAAATATTAATTAAAATGTACAAGTTTTCTTTAATTGGAATTTTAATCCCTAAATTACATAATGAGAACTGAGCTTACTAGCTTTTGTGCTAGTACTTCTGTTTGATTTAGGAGGCTTGAAATGAGTGAAAGGCACTCTATTTTGGCAAACTGTAAATGTCATATTTTGTACTCTTATCAGATTTTGATAGCTGTGAGAATCATAAAAGTCTATACATAATTTTAGTTCTTTAGACTAGTGTAACCAAATAAGATATGTAGGTTAAGTAAGCTACTATTAAAATTTAATTCTATGTCCTAGAGCAGTTTTATAAATCAAATTAAGGAATTCAAATGTGAAATTACCTCCAGATCTTTAATAATATCATGTAGTTCTGAATCAGCAGTAATAAAAGATGTTAAAGGTGAGTATATATTTGATTCATTTGACTTGGATGTTGTTTTTCTTCTCTCTCTATTTGCTTCAGGCATTTTTCTCTTGAGTATTTGGGAGGAAGAAGTAGGTTCAATGGCATTAATAGGCAAAAAGTCTATAAGAGAAGAGGCATTCTCAAAACACAAATTTTCTTCTCGATGTGAATGAACATGTAGGTTTTCCATTTGTTTTCTGATGTTAGAAATAACAGAGCTCGAAAAGTCTGGCAAAAAATCTGATGTAGACATCATTTCTTGATTTGCAGGACTGTTGTTACATACTCCCTCAATATCTGCTTTATTTTTAACTTGATCTTGCATTTTCTTTTCTTTTGCCATTTTTAATGCCAGGTCATTGACATCTAAGTTTGACCGAGTATGATAGACTTTCCAGTGTTTCTTCAGCTTCCTGTTTCTCTCCTGAGCTCCATGAGTATTGGTACTTGAGGAATCGATTCCGTAAACTTTTAAGCCATACTTCAGGGACAAATAGGAACTTAGGTAGCCTTTTCCAGAACCCAGGTCAATTACCTAAAGAAAAACAGAATGAATTAAACATTACGTTTGTTATTTTAATTTTGATTCCTATTAAAAATCAACCACACTCATCACTTTTATTTAACTTTTTAAAAGAAATTCTAGACAGTGTAATATCAAGAAAAAGATGCAAAAGTCATAAATATTGGAAATAAACCTCTTCTTCATAGATAATATGACTGTGTCTCAGAAAATACTGAATAATATACCAAAAAAGCTAACATAGAAAGTGAATTTAGCAATGTGTCAGAATACAGGATCATTAGAAATTAATACTAAACCACCAGAATATATACAATACAGTAGCAATTATAAAATATTTGAATTAAAATAGCATAATATAATACCTAGTAATAAATGTAACAAAGGTTGTGTAAGATCCCTATATATTGAAAACTACAAAACACTGCAGAGAAAAAATTTAAAAGATTAAATAATGATATACCATATTGACAAAACATGAGACTCAATTTTAAGATGGCAATTTCCCAAACTGACATAGATTCAATGCAATCCTAAATTACAGCAGATTTTTAAAAAGAAATTGACAAAAAGATATCACAATTTATATGAAAGGCACAGTTCCTAGAATAACCACAACACTTTTGAAAAAGAATAAGGTTGGAGGATTTACACAATTTTGGAATCAATATAAAACTAGAGTAATCAAAACAGTATAATGCTAGTATAAAAATAGACATATAAACCAATGAAAAAAATAGAGTTCAGAAACATACTAATACTAATATAGACAACTGATTTTTCAAAAAAACTGCTAAGGTAATTTGATGAAGACAAGAGTCTTTTCAACAAATGGTGCTGGTATAACTGGATGTCTGTATGAAAAAATGTACTTTGCTTATGTCATTCCAAAATCAAAATTAATTAAAAGTGGATCACACATCTAAATGTAATAGTAAAAACTAATAGCTTCTTAAAGAAAACATAAAAAAATCTTTGTGACATTAGGAGAGGCAAAGATTTCTTATGTAGAACATTAAAAGCATGAACTACAAATAATTGAAAAAATAAACCTCATTAAAAATGAAAACTTTTGCTATTTAAAATAGTTAAAAAGGAAAAGAACTACTGAATAGTGTATTTGTAAATCATTTATTTGACATATGGTTCATGTCCAGAATATATAAAGAACTCTTATAATTCAATAAGACAAGCAACCAATTAAAAATGGGCAAATAATTTGAACACACATTTCACAATATCCTATCTAATGAAGAGATAATATGCTAATTGACCCTCACACCATCACAAAGATGGCGGCACCCACAGCCAATAAGGAGGAAATATGCCAATTGAACTGCCATGCCCTCAAAGATGGCGGCACCCAGTACCCTTAGCACCATCAGGATGCGCCTGCCTCTGGAGTTCCCCAGTCCCCTCAGCCTTCCAGCCACACAGGGCCGGCCCAAGGCACAGGCAAACCTCAGCTGGCAGCTGCCCAGCTGACACCCAAGGTGCAGGCAAGCCTCGTATTTCGGCTGCCCAGCCGCCCAGGTCCAACCTGAGGCGCAGGCAAGCCTTGGATGGCGGCTGCCCAGGCTGCCCGAGGCTCAGGTAACCAGGGCCGCCCGAGGCTTGCGCTGCTGGCAGTGGCAACAGCAGAGGGGGCATCCCTTTCCCCTGATGGCTGGGTCACCTCCCGCCCCTGAGGGCTCCCGGACTATGAGAGGGGGCAGGCCGGGCTGAGGGACCCCCCTCCAGTGCATGAATTTTCATGCACTGGGCTTCTAGTGTCATATAAACAGCCAATATTAAAAGATCCACAATATCACTAGTCATCAGGGAAATGCAAACTCAAAATAATAATGAGAAATGCACAAATGTAAAATGGTACAGGCACTTTGGAAAACAGGGGTAGTTTAACATAAAGTTAAAACATACACTTTCGCCAAAGCCGGTTTGGCTCAGTGGATAGAGCATCGGCCTGTAGACTGAAAGGTCCCAGGTTCGATTCCGGTCAAGGGCATGTACCTGGGTTGCGGGCACATCCCCAGTGGGAGATGTGCAGGAGGCAGCTGATCGATGTTTCTCTCTCATCGATGTTTCTAACTTTCTATCTCTCTCCCTTCCTCTCTGTTAAAAATCAATAAAATATATTTAAAAAAAAACACACAAAAAAAAACAAAAAAAAATACACTTACTATATAATCTACAAATCCCACTCTGGACTAATTATTCAAGAGAAATAAAAACATGGCCACACAAAGTCTTGTAAGTGAATAGTAATAGCAGCCAAATAAAGGTAACAACTCAAATGATCATGAACTGGTAAATGAAAAAACATTTATAAACATACTATGGTCTACTACCCAGCAAAAAAGAGAAACAAAGAGTAAATATAACAACACTGAGGATGTTCAAAAGCTATGTCATAAAGATGTCAAACACAAAACATCATTTGTACAATGTTCTAGAACAGTCAAAACTATAAGCAAATCAGTACAGTGGGGCCTTGACTTACGAGTGTCCCGACTAACGAGTTTTTTGAGATACCAGCTGTCTCTCGGTCCATTTTGTGCATTGAGTTGATAGAGTAATTTGAGTTAACGAGCTCCTTAATGAGCTCCTTAACGAGCTCGGTCTCCCAACGAATTAAACTCGTAAGTCAAGGCCCCACTGTAGTTCCCTGAGAATAGAGGAAAAAATAACTTGCAAAAGGGCATGGAGGAAACTTTTTATCATGACAGAAATATTTTTTATTATGGTGATGGTTACACAACTGCATACAATTACCAAATTTATCAAACTGAACACCTAGAATTGGAGAATGTATTAAACTAAAAATGATAAAATAAGTAAAAAGTTACCAAGAATACTTTTATATTGCCATGCCTCTTCATAAGAAATAAATGGACAATTACAGAAATACTATCATAAGAAATTATCTAATATTATTACAACTATCTTTAATTCCTAACTAAAATCAATTAAACTCTGTCGTAAGTATGAACCACTCAAGGAAACATGCCTATATTTGTAGTAATGTATATCACTAATTAAATCCTCAAAAATTTCAGGGGTCTTGTAATTCAAGTATTTCGTAGGTAAGACTCCAATAAATAATGTCCCCTAAATAAGTAACTAGCTTACAAATACTTTCCTATACCAGTTTTTAATGTTAATCTCTGGGAAACACAGAAGCATAATATATCTTGACTTTAAGGAAGTATAATCTAATTGAAGTTACCATACCTATACTCATGAATATAAGAGCTGTACAGTAGAAACTCTATTAATCAATTCCCTTATATCTGAATCTTCAGAGAAAGCAAAACTTTCCTTTGATTCTATAAAACACACTCACTGATATCAATGACAAATTTAATGCTAGCAACCAGTGGTTGATGTAAACATCAGCATATTTGTTCCCACCAATTTAGATATTTTCTTACCAAGAGATAATTGAGTTTGTTTTCAAATATATATATTTTATATATATACATATATATATATACATATATATATATGCAACCGTCCAACCGGTAGCTATGATGCGCAATGACCAACAGGGGGCAGACACTCTGACCAGTAGCTATGACATGCACTGACCACCAGGGGGCAAACACTCAACACAGGAGCTGCTGAGCTGTTGTGACTTGGCACCTACGGTTCTCAGGTGATGCACCAGGAACCAGAGAGGAGGGAGCCCAATTCCAGGGTGCATCACCCAAGAACTGCCCTCTTGCAATCCAGGACCCCTTGGGGGATGTTGGAGAGCTGGTTTCGGCCTGATCCCCACAGGCCAGGTCACGGAACCCCACTGGTGCACAGATGCACCGGGCCTCTAGTATGTTTATAATAATTTCACTAGTAAATGAGGAAAATTCTGGCTACAAGTAACATCAAGTTTTGAACAATGAAGAAAATTCACTTCATTTTAGGAAATCTTTCAGTAGAAGAGCTGAACCATTCAGAGATTCAACGACATTCAACTTTAGAAAATATGTACCCCTACGTTCATGGCAGTGTTGTTTACAATAGCCAAGATATGGAAGTAACCCAAGTGCCTATCAACAAACAAGCGGATAAAAAAGCTATGATACATATATACAATGGAATGTTAAGTCAGTCATAAAAAAGAATGAAATCTTATTATTTGTGACAGCATGAATGGAACTAAAGTGTATTATACTAAGAGGAATAAATCAGAGAAAGACAAATACCATTATTTCACTTGCATTTAGAATTTAAAGAGCAAAATAAACTTTTGCTAGCTTATTTTTAATTCCTCTTGATGGCTGTAGAAACTCTTAGAATCATGTCTTCACAATATAATACCTAAAAACCTTTTCAGTAATGAGTAACTTTTCCTAGAAAATTTGTCAGCCTACATTTACATCTTATTGACCCAAGCTGACTTCTATCCCTTTCCAAACTGACTTAGTAACATATGCAGTGTTAGCAACAGAATGGAAAACTCTGTGCAATTAAAAGTTGTATAAGCCAGAAAACGTTTTGCCTTCACACTATCTGGTCTCAATTGCAAAATTTCCACCATCCTGATTTCCTACTCTTTACTCACAATAGTATTTTCCACTCTGGATCACCTTACAGGTTAGAAGACAGAGGAGACTCTAGTCCAATGCCTGCTGTGACTGACCTTCCTAGTCTCCTAATTCTGTTTAGGATACTTCCTCACAAAAACATTGTTACACACAGTGGTCATTATACTTCAGATAGAAGAGTTACATTTTGTTGACTAACTTGAAGATCTAATTACCATTCTAAGCTAAAGGCTTTCAAATTTCAAATTTTAAATAAATTTATAACACCAATATGGAATTCTCTGATGAACTTCATAATCATATATCCATCAGTTTACCTAATTTTTCCACTTGAGTGTCTAATAAGCATCTCAAACTTAACATGTTCCAAACTAAGTGCTTGATATTTTCTGTAAAACCTGCCTCTCCCCACATCTTCTCCATCACAGTTAATGAGAGCTCTCTAGGGCCACTAGTAAACGCAAGTGTTTCTGATTCTGAATTTCCATCGACCAACTTTAAATCTGCATTTTAAAAGTAAAGTAGTAGATATATAAAATGTTTTAAACTGAACTATTGTGAGAACCAAATATTGCTATTAAATGATTTAACACAAAGACCTTTTAAAAGTCTTTAGGAGATTTCATCCACTAGGAACAATCTCCTTTGCTTTGAAAAAATTCCCTTAAAGCAGGTCTAACATGATATATTAAGCTATTTCAAAATTTTTTCCTGCTATTTAGAAATAAAATAAATCTGCTTTGTTACAGTTATTTATTATTATGCAATATTTCACATAAATAAAAGAATAAATAGTCAAAATGTAAAGTTATGAAGCACAATAAATACCCTTCTTCTTAGTTTTTGTGTTACAGTAGAGCAGATTCGACACCAGAGATTTATTTGGGAGGTGAAAGAAGGGTAGGGAAGTAGAGAAGAGAAAAAGAGAAAGGAAGGCAGCCCAATAAAAGGTGCACTATTAATCAAGATACTTTTAGGGCAACTTGGGTTTAATTGCACTGGGAAATTCTGAGAGCTAGTGTAGAAGGCAGACTCAGAATCATCCACCCGAAATGTCAGGGAATTGATGTATTTGATATCAACTTGTACCGATCAGTGGTTCAAGGCTTGCCACAGAGAGGAATTAATTCCCAGAACCTGTATGCAAGCAGCGCCTTGTTTCAGCAGCCAGAGAAAACCCACAGGGAAAGAAATGCAGACATTGCCAGGTAGGGAGTAGGCTGGCACACCATGCAATGGGAAGGCCCAAGAGTATTAGGTTAGGTGTCTAACAGCACCGGCTATACCCACGAACCTATCAGCCATCCTAAAAACTACAACATTAGTATTTCTGCTGCCTTAATTGTGGATGGTTTTCCGTCTATAACCCATTTCCCTGCGTCCCTACCAGAGGTAATTAACTATTCTCAAATTATTATGATTCCATTGCTTTTTTTCTTATAATTTTTTGCCTTAGGAATATACCATTATTTTTCTTTAGAGCTTCTAAAAATGGTACCATAAAATATGTGGCCTTCTGTAAATTGCTTATTTTTTCCCATTCAATTTTATGTTTCTAATATTCACCCATGTGATTCGTATGGCAACAGTTTAAGTTTCACTGTGTACTTGCACCTTCTGGTCCAGATGAGCATCACTGCCATGGTGAGCCTGTTACTAATCCTGAAAGGTGTTGCTTAGGTATGATACACTTAAGAAAAGATTAAAAACTATTGCTTAGCTCTTGCTTCTAGCCTCTACCCTACAGAGCTACATTGTCACAAGTGGCTGTGCACACCTAGCCCACACTGTGATAACTTTCTAACCATCCTCAGGCTCTCCTCAAGTCTGGAAGAATCCATGGAAAAGATTCTAACACCTAATAAAAATTGAAGGAGGGAAAATTGTCCATTACCCCCATAGATGTTCTCATAGGGATAAGAAAAATAACTTACTATTTTTATAAGCCAGGGGGAAAAATAACTCACTATTTTTATAGGTCCAGGCAATCTTTGATTTTATTTTAACATCTGTTTTCAAAGATCTGTAACACAAAAGCGATTTCTCACAACAGGAATGCATTGTAATTCTGACAGTGTAAAAGAATCCAAGTTCTAAAATATAGTTTCTTTGTGTTACTATAATGAGGTAGGTGCCCCATATCACAGCTTGGCCAGGTCCTGAGAACAATTTTGCAAAATGTCATCATCATAATGCTGCCTAAAGTTGGAGTTATAACATGTCAAAGGGAATCATCTTTAACTTCTATCCACTCTGAAAAGAGTGAAATTTGTGGCAAAACATGCATAGTGATACCTTATTTTTAGTATAGATTTGTTATAATTGGAGTGTATTTGGGAAATGAAAACACATTTTTAAAGGCTCTGACATATCTCATGTCAGCTATTATTTAATGGCATTTTAAGGACTAGATAGTAATAGTAGAAAAAAGAATTTGAATGATACAAAAAAAAAGAGAGGCAATAATCTTAACACCTGAAAATAAAGGGAAATACTCTTACCTGTTTTATCCCACAGTAATCAGCAATACTGCTGATCAGCTCTGACATTGCCTGAACTTCGTGAGATTTTTTCAAATTCATAAACTCATCTGGCTTCACATTGTCACCTGAGTAAAAATACAACAAAATTAAAACACTGCTATCAAAGAAACCAAAGTTAATAAGGACCATCAGTTGACATTCATGTTTTCTGTAAGTAACTATGAAAATAATATAAATCCTATTGTGGTATCTACTAGTATATAACAGATCTCTATAGGTTCAGCTCCTATGATTCAAATTTGAATTAATAAAATAAATAAGACCGACAGAACATTATTAAAATGTTCCTTGATACATAAAACAATTAACTATAAAGAAAAAGACTGATAACTGAATTATCATATAGAAAAAAATGTGGAGATCCATAATGAAGTTGTTTAATATGTTGCATGAGAAGACCCACTTGGCATAAGCCTATGTGGGTTCATGATATAAGGTTGAACACTAAAGTAAGACCATCTTGAAAAGACATACATATATGAACAATATACTGCTTCTAAATGCCTAAAATCATACATACACATACATGTATACACACACACACACACACACACACACACACACACACACCTACCAGTTTTCTCTTCTTTATTTCCTCGAAGGGCTACAAGCAATTGCTCAAAAGGAGTACATATTCCCAAGTTTTGTATAGAATAATATTTCGTAGCCAGAGCAAAGGCTTCCACACTAACTAGCTTCTGGGAAGTTTCACAAAATATTTTGGAAAAACCAGTAATACCTAAAAAAAAAAAAAAAAAAAAAAAGAAAGCCAGGAAATGTTAGCAATACTTAAATAAAAGCTAATTGTGTGAGATTAAAAAAAATAAATGAAAAAAAACAGTGGATCTTTACAACAAATTACAATACTTTCATTTTAGTGTGAATTTTGCAATAACTTTAATGGTTCAATTATATTTGTTATTTAAACTATTAGCTATTGTAGCACTCAGTTTTCTCCTAACACAGTACACAATTAATATATTTAAACTCCAAATTAAATGTGGCCTTTTTTTGTTCCATGAGACAGAAAAAAAGAAAAAGAAGTTTAAATCCTGCTAAACTATAATGTAGTCATGAAATTTATGAATGGTCCTGGCCGACCTACAAATGTGAATTTAAAGGTTAGTCCCCACAACACTGTCATTCCCTGTCCACACTGCATGTGGAATAATGCCAATATCCCCTGTGGTATAAATATTTCTGTAAAACAGTTCCTAAATAATTTAAACCATGTAGAATTGTATGTGTGTGTGTGGTGGGAGGGCGGGGAGGAGGTATGTGTTCAGTGCACTGAACCCAATATGAGTTCTAAAACTAATGAGATGATGATCAGGTGAAAACATTCCATTTTCTTCCCATGCGCAGTTGAAACCAGACACTCTGAGGTTATCGACAGTTTCCAAATGCTCACTCATTTAGAAGAGTCTGGTGAACTGCTGTACTGCCTGCAACATCCAGTGGCCCATTCTGTGTGAGGATCACGCAGCTTGTTGAACTCAGGTGTAGCCACACCTCGCCCAGGGGAACTGTGTCATTTATAGACAGAAGTTTTGAGAGTATTAGAAGATTCACTGCACATCCTTTCCCCAGAACTGTAATAGCTGAAGGAAGGGTCAAGGTGGAACCTGCCTCAGCCTGAGTCCCCATGTAACTACAACAAAGACACCACTGCTTCAAACTACAACGGACATGCAGAATGAGAAAAGTAAACTTGGTTGTTTTTAGTCACTGAGAGTCTAGGCTTATTACTGCAGCACAATATTACCTATTCTGATGAATATGCATAAACACACTGGTAGATTTACTTTGTATTTACTCAATCCCACTTTCCTATGGTCATTTTTAATACATGTTAATTTATTAACGAAAGGTTAAAAAAGGCATTCAAATGTGTCTATAGTGGTTCAAAGAAACTCTTTAAGATCCAATGAAGTCCATTTACTGAAAATTATTTTTAATAATTCAAAAAAGCCACACATCCAGTGGTTAAATGAAGTATTTAAAAACTTCTGGTTATAAAAGCATGTGCAATCCAGGGAACAACTTTGGTCCTAGCAGAAAAACCATACTGCATATTATGAAGGCTATTCTATGATAGCTGATCCTCCATAGTTCCTTATAAAATTATATAAATCCACATACACACAAAGACTGATGCTCCTTAGCAAAAATTAAAAGCAAGAAAATTGATGAAGGTTTGCAGAATTCAAAACAAAAACTGTATGCTTAAGATAGTATCTTTTTTTTGTTACTTATTTTTTTAAAGAGTTTTTAAAATATATATTTTGATTGATTTCAGAGAGGAAGGGAGAGGGAAAGAGAGATAGAAACATCAATGATGAGAGAGAATCACTGATCAGCTGACTCCTGCACACCCCCGATTGGGGATCAAGCCCGCAACCTAGGCATGCGCCCTGACTAGGAATCGAACTGTGACCTCCTGGTTCATAGGTCAACGCTCAACCCCTGAGTCATGCCGGCAGGATAAGATAGTATCTTTTTAAAGTTATTATCTACTAAGTTGTTTGTGGTAACATTTACCAATTTAATTAATAAAAATAAAATTGGCAGAGATATATAACTTCCATTTCTGAATCAATTAAGTGGGAATTTAAACTGTAAAATTACTATAGTGATTTAACATATATTTTGTATATGATATAAAGTTCTTTGGACATTTTACAAACTGAAATTACTAATGCAGCCAAAAGTAATAAAATCCACATCAAAATATTTAGGCATGATACAGAGGGGAAAACTCAGTCAACTATTAAGTGAGACTCTCAGGTTTAAGGGCCGTCTCAACATCCCCAAGTTCCAGGGCAGCAATTTCTTAGAGTGTGATAGAATAAGAGTATTAAATCTCAAAGTGCAGAGGGACTATTATAGTAGTCAGTTATTGGACAATGTTGCCAACAGAAAGAAATGTGATGTTTCTGTTGGAAGAGTAAAGGTTCAAATCAACTTAACTATCCTACTCAGAATACTTGAAAAAATTCCAATTCAAGCTTAATTAAATGTTGTTAATTTGCTTTTAATTATAGGCCTCCCAGTAATTCAGAATTTTGGAGACCTAAATTACAAAGATATTATCTTTTCAATAATGTTTACTTTATAAAAAGAATAGTGTTTTTATTCAATCCATCAGTTTAGGTTACTAAGAGTGACACCAGTTTATTCAGAAAAATCTAGAACTCAATGAAAAAATATTTTTGAATTAGAGAAATATATATAGATTCTGTACTTTCTTTGTTTTCAAGTAATCAGCCTGTAACTTCTACAGAGAGAGGAGAGAAGAGAGAGGAGAGAGGAGAGAGGAGAGAGAGGAGAGAGAGAGAGGTGTGTCAATATTCTTGTCATTACTTCCATCTCTGAAACAGTATGTGAGCAAAACTATATGGAGTGGTAACAGTGTACATATTCCTCATATGCTTCTCTAGGTAATTGTATAATGAGTTTGGGTTTGACAGCTAGCAACACAGAATCCACAGCGCTACTGAATTTATATTTAGTTAATTCTTAATTAGTTAATGTTTTTACACAGGGAAAGCTTTGTTTTCAAATTTGGTGCCCACTGCACCTGCATATTATGTGGCTTGATTATTTTGCCAACATCTCCCTCTACTGGACGTACGTGTTTTGCTTTATTATATGCATTGGCTTTATTAGTTTTTATACACCCTGTATCACTGTTCCACAGAGGTTTCTTATAAGATAGGTTAATAGGGCATGAGGAAGCAAGGGGAGCAAACAGGCAGGGAAGTTATTGTCTACAATATGAGATCAGGAAATCTCTAAGTATTGTTTTTTTTAACAGCAGAGATCAATGTAGTATAAGGAAAGACAGAGAAGTTATACATACACGTTGGATTATAAAAATGTTAAGGTAAAGCCCTAGCCAATTTAGCTCAGTGGACAGAGCATCGGCCTGCGGACTGAAGGGTCCTAGGTTCAATTCTGGTCAAGGGCATATGCCCAGGTTGCAGACTCAATCACCAGTGGGGGATGTGCAGGAGGCAGTCGATCAATGATTCTCTCTCATCATTGGTGTATCTCTCTCTCCCTTTCCCTTCCTCTTTGAAATCAATAAAAATATATTTTTAAAAAAGTTAAGGTAAAGAAATGAATAATAATGTTTCAAAATTAAAAATAAAATAGAATCAATGAATATATAATATTTATATATAATAAATAAAAAATGTCAAAACTAAATGTGTTCTTTTACTTGAATACTACCTAGCACTTTAAGGAAGTCAGAGTGCTATTAGGATACACAAAAACTCATCACTATTATTGCTTTATTGGTAACATTTATTACACATACACTATATGTCAGGCACCATGCTAAACAGCTTACATTACATGGAATAGTCTGATAAGCTAGCTACATAGTGCTATTATTCCCATTTATAGAGGAAGAAATTGAGACTTAGAGAGGCTGCAATGTATCCAGGTTCACAGAAACACGAAGTGGCAAGGTGTGAACTAAGGCAGTGTTCAACCTTGCTTTTAATTCCCACATTTAATCAGCATGCCATAATAGTAAGTAGACTGGACAACAAATGAAATCAGGCAAAAGAGCAGTTAAGAAAAGTGCTAGACAGATTGGAATGTCAGAATCAGGTCTAGCAAGAATTGCCTCTGGCACAGATCAATACATGTAATATCTTAAGCTAGTTCATACTCACTTTGTTTATTTTCTTAATTGTTTCACTTTCTTTACTCCCCTCAACACCTCCCTCTTTACCAGAAGCGGTCTTAAGGCTTCAAGAAATTAAAAAAGTAATTTCTGTATTTAAAACAACTGATAAGTCTCTGAAAAGGAAATAAAAGTTTTTATGATAAGGTTTTGTTGTGGTATCTATTTCTAGAAACAAGACAATGGTACTGCTTCGTGTCCAGTTGAAAAGCAACATACCTTGCATGTAGCAGGTACTCAGTTAATAGGAAATAAATGGATGGATGGATGAAAACAATTCCTCAGTACATTTATTACTGTAGCATCACCAGGTACCCTGGGCAGAATGAATTCTCAGATTCTGTGGTGGCAGTGATTACTGAGGCCACAAGGAGGACTTCACTAGCTGAGCCTGTGAGAGCAGCATGAAACCTCACCTCAGCCCTAACGTTTATAATCGCAAAGTGAAGAAAAGAGTGATTTAGGAAATTTAGAATGTGATGAAATATAAAATGCAACTGTGTATTAATTCTGGGCTTTAACTGTGTTACAAGGGATTAGGGCAAAGGTTACTACTGCTATTATAACACAGACTAGAACAGTCCCATGCCCAGAATTTCAAGAAGAAATCAGTAGTGCCCTCTTAACAATCTTCACAAGGACATGAAAATGTTCTGTATTCATCCTATATAATAAAAGCCTAATATGCAAACAGACCGAACGGCAGAAAGAACAGTTACTATGACTCATACTGACCACCAGAAGGCAGATGTCAATCCTGGTGAGTGCAGCAGTGGTGGCGGGAGCCTCTCTTGCCTCCACGGCAGTGCTAAGGATGTCCGACTGACGGCATAGGCCTGCTCCCCCTAAGCTGGCAGTCAGACATCCCCGAGGGCTCCCAGAATTTGAGAAGGCTGGGCTGGGCTGAGGGACTCCACCCCCCACCCCCCGAGTGCACGAATTCATGCACCGGGCCTCTAGTTTCTACATAAATACCCTACAGATATCTGCAATTCAAAAAGTTCAAAACTGAACAAACGTTCTCATATTCACCAAACCTT